GAAGAGCGACCTGGTCCAAGTTGAAAACATTCGCCATTGCACCGCGGCCGATCGATGCATCCAGGTAAGTTTCGAGTCTTGTAATATATGTTCCGAGCTTTCGTTTGTTCCCTACCCGGTACCACCCTTTTTCTTTCATCTACCCGTTCCAGACCGGCGCACCACGACCTACCCTTACTTCGCCCAAGTCCGACGCCGGTCGAATTATCATCGCGACCTCTCAAAGCCTTTCCAAAATTACTTACGAACTCACGGACCCGTAAGTCCAGACTGCTCGAAATTAGTTTCCACGAAAGCTCTCTCCCATTAGGTATGTACGCTCCCCAATTCGTTAAGAGGAGACTGTCGCTCCCTCTTCACCCTCACTCGACAACTCGTCCTTCAGACCGCCACTTTCTCTCATTCACCGATGTATCTCATCCCTCTGCGACCCTAAAAGCGTCCCCACTCGCAGAAAAATATCACTGCTAAAATTGCGCAATCGTAACGAGGTCAATGCTCCTTTTCCCGGAAAAATACCCTCCTTAAAGGTTCCAGGGCTCGCTTCCAAAGGACCAACGCTACGTAATTCCGTTTCGAATGAATTTTCTCTCTAATTCGTTTCAGCACACACTACCGCCTTCTTATTTCGCCCTGACGTTATTACCATTCAGACTCTATTCCCCTTTAACGAGTTTTGTCTACGTATCGACGATTTATTCGATATCACTCTCTTCGTACATTTTCGAAACACTGAATCGCAATACGATTGCAACGCGATTCGATGCAATCGGATACTCGCTGGTCGGTCGACCGGTTTGAGTTTTTGAACTTAGAAATCAGTAGTATCGAGTCGCGTTTGGTCAGCCAAGCAAGTTGGCCGGTGGCTCTCCTATATTTTCCGTTGACCGGGTTAAGAGGAGGTCGTTTAAAGAATCGTCTGATCGACAAACCAATTGCGCATAACCGTCCGTTATGGAAAGAATGGCATTGCCTTTCTATTTTCGACGATATTCCGCCGAATATTAAAAGCAATGGCCACCCGGTGTCAACTGGGTCATCGTATTTCGAATTAGAGCTACCGATAGAACGAGTATACGAACGTTTCGGAAATAAACTGCACGAGAATTCGCGATAATTCTTCGAAACCTCGAACACCGAACGACCTAGGGGAATATTCGAGACTGTCGCGAGATACGCATAAATCATAATCGCTCGGGACACTATCGAAACGGCTAATCGCGACGTTGTTTCTTGATCAACGACGAGATTCCAGTGGGATATTCGTTCGTATCCCAAAGTATCCCGGAGAACGTAATAAGTCTCGAACATGGCTATCTGAAATCAACATCTCCTTGACGCAAATGTAAATTACGGGCAGGCAAGATAGCGTTGGAACGAAACGGTGAAATAGAAAGAAAAAGTCGGTTTACGTGCGATTTATAGGTCCGAATCACACGAGGTCGATTCAACGACGCCTCGACGCCGAGAAACGGCGCCAGAGCGGCGTAGGTATCGATTCGGTTCGATTGCCGAAAAATGGTAATGCGGTTGGGCAGAACGGCGAGACCTTACTACCCCAGGAAGGACGTCTCAATTTCGATGCTACGTGCCGTAGGAATGCGGAACGAGGCCACTCCATGCGAGCAAACAGAATTTTCTTAAAGCCACGAGGAAGAACCACTTCAACGTGTGCGAGCTTAAATTTCACACTCAAAAGGACAGGAAAATCCCTTGCCGATAGAAGGAAAATCTAACTCGTCGTGTTCGAGTACTCTCTCTCTCTCTCTCTCTCTCTCTCTGACCAACTATTCCAGATGCAATCTAAACAAACTGCGTTCCACCCTCTTCGACTTGCAACTACCTTAACCCTTCGGATCGCCCCATGTCTGGGGACGAAAAATAGTTTTCCCGTCTCTCTGGAGAATCTGATTTTCGTGGAACGATGAAAGATATTTGAAAGAACTTTCTGCCTTGGTGACAGCAGATTCCGACGCGTTCTGATCGTGACGTCTCGTGATTCATGACTCCATGGCTAGCCGGCTAAGAACAAACCAGCCATTGATGCTTTGAAATACGTTTGACGATCGCGAGGGGTAAACAGACACACCACGACAGACATCTGTGATTCATTGCAGCCGAGTTAAGCCTATTCGCATAATCAGACAGCGACGTATCACCTCTGTCATTAATTACGAGACCGTGCAACACGCATTTATCAAGTTAAATGGTTGGAGAGCTGCAGAGATTTGGTAGGCAGACATAGAGTTGGCAAATGGTTGCGACAACGACCAATCGAACGTTCCCGTTCCCTAGCGGGTGCCGAGGAAAATAAAATTAGCAACATTTTCTACGAAAAGAAATTAATTTTGCTGCGAAGACGAATAGTAACTTCTCTGCACATAGTTAACAGGGTGCTCTTCTATGCTAACAACTTTCACGGCAAAGAAATTTCAACTTCGCGTTACATTTTACACGGGACTCCATGATCGCCAGCGAACAAATGGATTCCAGAATAATTCGCGAAACAAGTTTCGGGCTTTAAATATCACTTGAACTTGGCAAATTCGAATCTACATATTGAAAACTTGGCAAAGTCGCTGGAAACCTTCCTCCATAGTTGTACCTTCCATGCACCCTCGCGACAAATTACATTTTGCTTGAGAATTCCTCACCGTACGAGATAAATAAAGGGATGTTTGACGTACCACGATGGCACGAATAATCAGTCGAAAAGTACTTTGCTCTAGGGATATACGTTCTGAATAAAAAAAAAAAAAAAGAAGAAGAAAAAGAGAGAAGGCCAGATAGTCGGTAACCTTGTTCCGCCTTTTTACTGTCACCCTAACCTCTTAAACGCGAACGCTTCGTATCAGTTCGCGCATTCGTTCGCGTCTGCAATTGCTGTCAGCCTACATGACCAAACGAAATTCGTTCACGCCGTTCAAAGGAACGTAAATACCAGTGGAGGTGGTTCTTGAATTAGACATCCATCTAAATGGATTATCCTCGAGAACACGCTCGTTTCAGAGCAACGAACGATGCGCTCTCGATACACCTTCAACGTCCCATCATGCCGCATACATCACAGAAATGGTTCCCTTTTAACTGCCACTCAATTTAAGACCCTTCGAAGCTACATTTCCCTAATGGAACCCGGTTTACCCGATACGGGGAATGATAACGCTAGGTTAACATAACATTCAGCTTGTATGGGATACAATTTCTAACCGGTCTGCTTGCGAAAATATCAACGTATAAAATTCGAACGAAAATATTGCAGCGTTTCGGAATGCGGTCTACGTAGAGCACGCGAAAGAAACGTTGCCTGTGTTTACATTCCATTTAATTTAAAAGACTGTTTACGTAGGAGAAATACGCGTAGAGAAATGTCCACGGCGTAGCGACGAGATACGCGGAGCAGGACACAAGGTCGCGTAGAGAAACACGGGCGTAAGAGAAGGAGCGATAACGACGTGGCAAAGGTTTCCGCGGGGAAATCGCGTGGAGACTTTGACGACGGGTGCACCGTGCACACGGCTATAGAAAGCCACGAGCGTCGACAACTTAGCGTTCAAGATCGATGAGAGAGACCTGCAGCGGCCTAACCCTTGCGTTTTATCGAGCCGTGGCATACGTACCTCTCGCAACCAGCGACCACGAAAAAGAGAGAGCAGGAAAATAGGCGGTCGCAACGCGACCGACGAGGAACGACACAACGTACGCGCGGTATATCGTGAACTTAGCAGCAGCACACGACTCGACGCGACTTCGATGCGTTCGAAATGTTTCGATATCCCTCGCGTGTTTCCTAACGCGTCCTAACGTGTCGCGAAACTCGCCTCGGAAACGTTGAAATATAATCCTTCAACGGGATAGACAAGGGCAAACGTAGTCGTGGGTTCGAAGACGCAAAACAATATCGCGTGTTGTCGTATAGCGCGGAGCCAGTCAAGCGGACGAATACCGTAACGTCTTTCCTCGAAACGGTTGAAGCGGCGAGGGTGGGGGGGAAAGAGACGAGTATAGAAGAGAAACGACGCATTAAACATTGAAAACGTGGGCCGAGGAAATTGATCTTTTCTAACGGACGATAGGCAACGTGCATTGGATAAATAGATATCGTATTGGAACTTACCTTTTTATCGGTGATCACTTCGCGACGAAGCTCGAAGTAGAAGTAGAACCGGAGAGCTGGCTCGAAAAACTGTGTACGAAGAGACCCGGCGAGGACAACGACGACGTCCGTACGAGTCTCACATTTAGACTACGTGCGTCTCTCCGGTCGTCGGTGGCGGTGACAGTGGTGGTGGTGGTGTGGTGGTGGTGGTGGTGGTGGTGGTGGTGGTGGTGACGATGGTGGTGGTGGTAGTTGCTTTCTGTCCCCCAAGCGGGAAAAAGAAGGGCGGAGAGAAAGAGAAAGACAAGGAAAGACCGATGAGATCGAAGTCTCGTGGCAAACGGTCGTAGACTGAGTGAACCCGAGTTCCGACTGAGCGACTGAGTTGCTGTGGCGGTGACGCTGGCGCCGCATAGCGGAGGGTTACCGAATTACCATCGATCCATCGAAAATGGTATGAGGTAAGCTCGCGAACGAGCGCGAAGAGGAGCGAAGGGGAGAAGGGCTGGCGCACCGACGGAGGGTCGAAGAGGGTGCACGACCAACGGAACCCTACCGCCAGGGGTTCGAGAGGAAAAGGGAGAGGGAGAGCGACGAGTCGAGTCGAGAAGAGGGCGGGGCGTACGCGTACCACACGTTTCTATCTCTATGTCTATACCAATGCCTTCTTCTTTCTCTCTCCTTCTTGTTTTCCTCCCTGCTCCCTTCCCCTTTATCGCTTCTTTCTTTATCCCTTATTTACTACTCTCTCCTTTGCTTTATACGCGAGTGTCTCCCTGCATTTGTCCGTTCCTATGTTTTCCTATACCTTAATATTTACTTCTCATACTTTCCAAGCCTCTTTGCGCCTGTTCGATTAATTTCTCGCTGCTTTCGTCGCCTTTGCGACATGCCAAAATGGTCTTCCTTTTCTTGGCTCGCGAGTCATCCGACAACCTTTAAATGGTCGTGTCTGCTTGCTACCCTTTCTCTCGTTTCTCCCCCTATTTTACTCTCTTTTCTCTCCCTCTCTCGCTCCTCCTTTCCGACCTGTATTTCGATAGCATTTGCTCTTCACCATTACGACATTCTTCAATTCCTTCGCGAGCGAGTACTTACCTAGGCATCGTACAGGTGCACCAGCTTCGAAACTATCGACAAAGCCTCTTGTTAGATGCATCGGGAGAACTTTGTCCGTGCGAAGCTGCAAAAAAGGGAAATATAGGTCGAAGGATGATGAGAATTTAGGCAACGCTTTGCATCTCTCTTTGCCGCGACAAGATGAGAAATTTCGCTATTATCGTAAACGCGTTATCCTTGAAACGGTGCATAAAACGCTCGACGAAGATACAGCATTGGCCATTTCTGCTACACATAGCCTATCCGAATACGCGCTATGTATAGTTACGTATTTTATGAATCGATAAAAGAAGCATGTCGGCCGTGGTTGTTTCGCTCATCTGGCTCGATACCTAACGCGGAGACATGCTTCGTTTGCAGTTCGCACGATCGAAGTTCCTGGTACGCAGCGACAATAAAAGACATTCACATATATCGCCTTGGGATCCATTAAGTAAACGCAACTTCTCTACGAGCTGTCGTATACATGCAAACGTTTTTAGCTGAGAACGCTCTATGGAAAAATGTAAATCTGGGTCAACGTTATTCTGAATAGAAAACTGACAGAGGAATGAAAACGTATATAGGTAGAAGTTAGCGCGATATTTTTTTTTCAACGCCACCCCTTTCGAGTCCAGCTGTTGTTTGTACGGTACGAAAACAGGGATATCGATGTACCCGCTGGAATTACGCGAATCTTTGCTTTCCCTTTTATCCGAATAATTATTATTTCATATCGCTCTTTATGACGCCGTGGGTCCGTCGACTTGATAAAACAGAGCGGGACGAACGTCGATGAGTGGAAAGCGTAATATCGCGATGTTATCGTGAGAATTTTACGATGGTCTAGAATAGCTGCTTAGTATGGAAACTATTGGATGTATAGAGGTAATGGCGTGACATACTGCAGCTTTATCTCGCGTTGTCGGATGAATCCGACGGGGGGTGATCCGACGATAAATCGATGGCTTTCAAAGGTGAGCCAAACACGGTACTTCGCGAGAGAAATTCATCGGTAAATATAAGCCAGAAGAAGACTCGTGCGATGGCAAGTGCAACAAGTCAGGGCATTAGGTAGATTGCTCATCACGAGCTACTTATTCCGCATAATACGTTTCGCGATTTTAATTACGACCCTGTATGCGAGCACCGCGAAGAGGGCGATCGGTCAAACTGCCTGCGAGCGAATTCGTCGGGGCTAATAGTTGCTCGAAGGTAAAGTGACCGCGGGAAAATTAAACGTGTCAGTAACAGCGTAAACAACTGGATAGGCAAACGTCAGATGCATCTTGGAAACGGCAGGAATCCTTACGAAACCATGAAACGAGGGCCGCTTCGTGACAGGGTAGCCGGAAATTACGTAATTTCCTTACATTCTGCCAGCAGTTGAACGCTTTATACGAGACACGCCGTCGCCTTGGAATATCGAATTTCTAATCGAATCGATAATTACGAAATACGTAAAGCGCAAAGGAAGAAACCGAAAATGCTTCTTTCCGATATCTCTGCACACCTTGCAGCCTTCTTTCTCCCAGCTCGAACCTTTGTCCTTTGAAAGGAAAATGGAGAAGTGGAATGAAATCGAGTTGACTCCGCGATATCTTCATGGAAAGAGCGCCGAGCTTTTTACCTCTTCCAAAGAAACAATGCTTTCCATAGAATTTCATTTCCTAATTACCTCCGCAAACTTCGACTCGACTACTTTCTTCCCTCATAATTTCGAATTAAAACGATGGACCTAGCCCCTGACAGGCTCGCGGATAGGCTAAAACTCGCGTCAACTGACGGGTAAAGAACTGGAAAAAGCACGAGATGTATATCACGTTGGTATGTGCGTACGGATTCTCGGATGCCCGCCAGACTTTGGTTCCAGGAGATGCTACCTAGAATCACGTCCTGAGACTGGCGAAGTGCAAATCCATGTTGGTGGTATAATGCTCCGCTATAAGTCTCGGAATTATGTGGACCGTGATAAGCATGCCGAAAAGCGAGAAAACACGATTATCTTTCGAGTATTCAGCGGTGGATTATGTCGCTGCATTTATACTTTTCGCTGCGAGCTTTAATAAAGCCGCCTTGAAACGTCACGCATGGACGAAGAATGGCAATTGGCGTTGCCTAGTGGCCGCCAATTTCCAGCACCACGAACATACCTGCGATTCTTTTGTCGTTTCGACTAGCAGCGAGTACCCGTATTAGCGATGAAGCGAAATCTCGAAGGAAATTGAATTAATCGCTGCTCGAAGATCAGAAGGAACGAGATTGCGTTCGCGCACGATATTTCCCACAATCCGATTGAATGTGGCTACACGTGTGTAGCAAAGATATCCCCTTTAAACATAGTTCAAAGTGAGCGGTAATTTATTGATCCACGCGGCGTGTTCAATCCGCTTTCAGAGATTAACCAAAGGTTCAGGTAGCAAAGAGGTTAACGGCGTTATCTTTGTCCTAGGTTTCCCATTTTCGAGCTGTCGCGTCCGCGCGCTTCGTCCCGTGCGGAACATCGCGATTCCTCGGCCGAGACGCGCGGAGGGTGCGAGAAATCGTCAGTAGGGGACACAATCGACGCGCAGGGAGTTTCACACCTGCTGATGGAGCGGCGCCTGTGGACACACGTCGAGCCGTTTCAACGTTCTTACGAGCATCGACGACGGCGAGCAAACGGACGTAAGTAAATTGTAAACACCCTTTGACTATCAAGTGTAAGGAACGAGATTCAACTGCTCGTCCAATCCGACTGCGTAAGGGTGTGGAGGTGCATGGAACGGCGGTGCAAGCATAAGAGCTACTCGACAAGCTGGAAAATTACACGGCTCTCGCTCGCATTTAATTCGTTAACGATTTAACCGTGACGTTGTTCCGCATTCGACTAACGAGCACACCGAATTTTCTTGCTCCCTGCTCGCGGAACAGGAAGCGGCCGGGAGTTCCGGCGAAGCGTGTTTATCTTTAAATTCTGTCGGTCAAACGGAGAGCGGGTTCGGAAAAAGGGGAAGTTTGCCGAATGGGAGACAACTTTTCCCTTTGTCGTGTTAATGGCAAAGTTAATGGCAGGGCAGATTGGCGAAATATCATCGTGGGGTGGAATTAAAAGC